CCATAATGTATACCTTGTTATATACAAATAAATAAAGAAATGGTGTTTACCTACGTTAAAAAAAAAAAAAAAAAAAACTTAAAAAAAACATATTAACAAAATAAATAAAGATAAAAAAAATAATATATAAATATATAAATTATAATAAAAAAATAATTAATATTAAATTAAAATTTAATCTGAATTTTAATAATTATTTGCAAAAATAATTTACAAGCTATACTTTATCAAACAAATACTGTAAATTTTAATTATACTCAATAAATAAACAATATATTAATTATTTTTATAAATTGTATCTAAAATAATGTCATAAATGAATAAATTGAATTATATATACAATTTTTAATGTAATAATTCAATGTGATTTAATAAACAGTTAACTTTAACCTGAATATGAATTAATTTATTATCCCTTAATCTGTAGATCAATTTTAACAAATTTTGATATTTATTTTTGTAATGCATTTTTGAGAAGAATAATATTATGTTATTTGCATTTTGACCATTAAGAAAAAAGATTAACCTTGTTCTGGAGATTTAAATGAGCTAAAATACATAATGAAAGAATGCATGATTAAAGAGTAACATGCATCAAGAGATATAAAATAATTTTATTAACAAATAAAATTGTAGGCAAATTTGCCTACAATACAGTTTAAGGGATAATAATTTTTAAGTAATTTATCATTTAATAAAGAACATTATTTTTATCATTATTATTTTTTTAATATTTTACAATTTATTTTATAAATCATAATCATTATTTTTAAATTAAATTTTTTATCAATTTCAAGCATATTGCATTTAAATTTGTAAGTTAACTAACATTTTTTTTCTAATAAATCTACATTATCGTTTTGAAGAATTATTATTGTAAACCAATGAAAAGTTACGTATTTAAAAAAACAGTTAATAACCTTCCTTTTTTTGTCAAAGTAACTTGAACAAACAATGCTTAATCGATTGAGGTGATATAGCTTCACATCTTATAAACCTTGTTGAATATGAAATTATTATTTTTTTAATCTTTTTGAAGAAAATTTTTTCACATCAAATAATGTTGGATCGCATCTATTGATGGTTGGAGTTCGTCACATGGAACCTCGTACATTCTTGCATGAGGATACCTAGAAGGGAGATCCATGTATCGTAAGGCTGCTGGTAATTAAATAGACAACACGAATAACAAAACATACCCATAGTGAGTAGAGCCGTCTCATCCATTCGTTCGAAAATATCAGGAAGTGGGTTATCACATGTAAAATGGTTGCTCGTAAAATAGCGAATTGAATTAAGGAATTCCTATAACGTCGAGCATTAATGATAATACAGTCATCGAAAGTGACAGAAACTAGATCGCTTACTGGTTCCGGTAAAGGTAGAGTCTCGGCTACACTTGAATTTGTTGCATTACCAAATTCGTTTAGTGGTGGTAAAGGTAATGGTGTCGATGAAGTCGACAGTTCACCCTCATCGGAATACACATCACCGAACTCGCATACAGAATTCGAACCATGATCATTCCTCATTTCATTATTACCCGAATTGAGAATCTCACATTCTGCAGAAGTGGATTTTTGGTTCGAGTTTTCAAGATCTGTAGGTGTGTTTTCGGCTTCTGGGAAAACGGCAATGACTACGAGCGTGCGTGCGTGCGTGCGTGCACGGAAATCAAAAATAGGTTCTTCCCAATCTTAAAGTAATATAACATAACCCACGAATTATGCTCACCATCACCAGCCTCATTCAACGTTGTATGATTATCCGACGAGTGGTTCGCAACATCCCTTGTATTAGTGCTTGGCCCAGAAATATTTTCAAGGTCAATGGGCATGGTGATACCTGTTTGCGCATAAAGAAAATTGTAAGAAAATCTGTTTCTCCAAATTTATTTATTTATTTATTTATTTATTGCATTGGAATATTTACTGTCACCAGCATTCGTGTTGGACGGCGAACACTCGTTGGTCAACTGATTTTCATTAGGAACCGGAATTCCGGAATCATTGGATTCTGAAGCTTCTGAATAAATATGTTAAAAACATGTTCCCGAAATTAAGCAAGGAAATGACTTCTCTATTTAAAATAATATTTACCTGGTTGCCTTGGTCTTTGGGTAAAATGATAAATTCTTTTTTTTTTGTCCGGTCCCTTTATCACGAACCTCTTATTCCTGAACAGATTATCACAGACGCGTTGTTTGGAGACATTGAAATGCGAAGCGGCCTCTTTAACAGTTTTCACAACTTTGATCAAGTTTGATTTGTCGTCATAAATATAAATAGGAGCATTCCTTTTTACAGGCGCACTCAGTTTAGCCAACTCAACTGATTTTTTTTTTAAAAGGGCAAATGAACAAGTGTCAGGAGCTGATTTTTATAGACATTCAGTAAATCGAACTCACAAGTAGCTTTTTCTCCCAAGGACTTTGCGTGTTTAAGAGTTTTCGCATCAAACCACCTTGAATAGACGTACCACCGCCACCTGAATAATCTGCCAGTATCAGCCCAACGACGGATAGATCTCGTGTCGTCTATATTAGTAAGGGAAATACTGGCATCTCTCAGGCTGCTAAAAACGTGAGTCAATTCCAATGACTCGTTGTACACATATATTGGTTTCGATCTAGGCATCCTTATGATTTTGGGATTTTCAAATTGACGCGATTTTATCTCCTTTCAGCAACCAATGAAATCGTTGGTAATTATAATAATTATAATTCCGGCTGATTACCGAAATTTCAGATGGCAGTGCCGTATCATTAATCAATCATATGTACGTACTAATTATGCCCGAGAATTATTTAATTACCAAACATTGATTTCAATTATACGTCATAACCTACATCATTGAATAGAAGATGAACGAGATTTATAGTAATGACGACAGAATTACAACAGACTTTTTTTAGATGTGAGATTAATAGTCAAATAATCCTTTGCGAGATCTTATTAGTAATTTCTTTGTTTCTGACGTAAAGATAGATTGATTACGTAATCCAATAAAGGATTAAGGACCAAATAAATTCACGGCAAAATTTATAATCATACCCTTTACTTTCTTGAGTTATTTCTACATTAATCGTCTTATCGTAAAAAAAGAAAGATATTCCATTTGGTATCCAAGGATAATGACAACACTTCACAAGCGCAACCAAGAAAGAACTCACGAAGGTTCGTACGGTGTTTGAGGAAAAAAAACAAAAAACAAAACCATTTTTTCAACGTACTTCTGCATTTTCAGAAAATCAAGAACGTGCCTACATCGCAGCAAGCCATCGAGGGGTGAGTAAAATGATTATTTGTGCAGTTTACAGATAGAGCATACTTTCGGGGGCATATAGTTGTTCTGACATTCGGGCAAGAAATCGTAATTGAGGATTTTTCCGCGTTGGTGGTTGCGCCATTCTGGCATTCCAAAAAAGGATTTCTGCGTTACCGTTTTTATAATGGATATTTTCGTTTGTCACAAAACTTGCAATAGGATCGTAGCATGGAGGCACGTATCGAATCAGCTCGTAAAGCGTCCGAAATTCACAAAAAGCGCACGGGCAAAGCTTTACGCATCACTCCAGAGGATGTCAGGAACGAGGAGATGTATCAAGAAGTTGATAATGAAGAGCATGAGAAATTGGAGCATTTTCATCGAGATGTAATTGGTGAACCTCCCCGTCCTCAAGGTCGTGGTGCTCACCTCGCTTACGACCAACACAAATAGAAATAATGCGGTGCGGTATAGGATGATTGTATGGGTGTATGTCCTTTTTACATTCTCCTTTTGGAAGGTATAATTAGTTAAAGCATCTTTTTGTCTGTGTTTCCTTTTTACCTGTACATTGTATTCTCTTCTTTTTACATAACCACCTTTTGCATTATTTTCACATCATCCCTGTACCCCAAAACACAATATATATATATCTACATTTATATCTATATTTATATCTATATAAAATTTTCAATGTTACCCTGGATATTAAGTGAAATACAATTTGCTCTTAAAGCTACTCGGACAGATTTGTTCGAGTGTATCGACGCTCTTGCTAATATCCTTCTTGCCTTTATATCAAACCTTCTTCGCAATCATCACATTTTAAATCATGTGACCAATGATTCCTGTAACAAATATATATTCATTCGTTGTATTATCTTCCTGTGTCATAGAAAATACTCATCATCGTAGTATTTATTTATCGGCGCGTTGATTTTTATGTATTCTTCATGTTCTTCCCTGAAGGCTCTTCGTTGTTCGCATAGACATACATAAATAAATACTGTAACTGTTGAGTAAGGTTCCTCCCATTTCCACTATGTAACGATAAGGTATAATGAAGATTAAACAGTGTTTTTGTTTTTTACTTTATTCGAGATTTTTTTTTACGTTCCCCCCCAACTTTTCCCAACATGCATTCACGATGCGTACATGAGCAATTTGACACCCGCAAACTTCGATTGCGCTTTCATAAATTTTGTTTCTTTTCGAGAAAGATTTTATTCGTTATTTTTTCGCTCATATCGTCTTTCCGACGCGTACGTCATTCATCCTGGTTTGTTTGTCTTGCATGTGGCGAGGTGGTTGTATCATGTAAATACCTATGTACATACTGCCGAAACAAAACATTGCTGGATCGAGAGTAGTACAGTATAATGGTTGTGATCACATAAGGCGGCTTA